TTTTTTTTTTTTTTTTTTTTTGGGGGGGAATACTTTATTTTGATGTCTTGAATTTTCATTTTCTTTTAGTTTGGTTGTTTTTGCATTCAAATTTTGCTTTAATATTCACGTTTTTCGTTTAATTTTGTGGAGATTTGGGTCGAAGATTTTTTCGTGAGGAATTCATGATAATTTGCTGGGTTTTACATGATCTGGTGAAAATTAGATTTATGGTTCATTATTGTCCATTTTAGGGAGTTTTTAAGTATTTTTGCTCTTCAATCGACGTGGGAGGTCAGTTTCCTAATTAGCACACCACCTATTTTGGAGATGTCGAAATCGTTATCTTTCCAACCAATGATATCTCACAATTTACTCCCTTAGGGGCTAGCGTCCTAGTTGGCAAACTACCTGATTTACCCTCTTAGAGGCTAGCATCCTAGTTGGCAAACTGCCTGATTTACCCTCTTAGAGGCTAGCGTCCTAGTTGGCAAACTGCCTGATTTACCTTCTTAGAGGCTAGCGTCCTAGTTGGCAAACTGCCTGATTTACCTTCTTAGAGGCTAATGTCCTAGTTGACACACTGCCTGATTTACTCCCTTAGGGGCTAGCATCTTAGTTGGCAAACTGGTTGATTTACCTCCTTAAGGGCTAGCGTCCTAGTTGGCATTGCTTGATGTCTAGTTATGTTAGCATTGGTAACTATCCAAATCTATCACTAGCAGTTATTATCCGACTCGGTTATTAAAAATGTGTCTGTTAGAGAAAAATTTTCATACCATTAATTTTCGTGAGATTTCACAATTATTAAAAAAAATCACAATAGACGAAAAGTTCTGTCTAGAACAAACGCTTCGGACGAGTCACATCTAAAATAATTTTTACGTGAAATTTGATGATTTTATTTAAAAAAATTAGGCACTAAAATAGAATCATCAAAAAGTTAATGGATATAGATAACGTTTATATATTTTAAATTAAAAATAATTGATAATAATGGTTCCTTGGAATCACTATTTCATTAATAATATTAGAATCAAACCTAATTAGGATAAATTAAATTATTATATGACTTTATTTATATGATTAATTATGTGTAACCTCACCAAAGTTACATCATTAAAGCTAAATTATTCATTTAAATTAATTAATTATTTCTCAAAGGTCACTTCAAAGAATCAAAACCAAATCTCATAGGCTATTATTTATTTATTAATAATTGTTTTATTTAATTTTAATGGTGAAGGGATTATTATATAAATTATAATATTATTTTGTCTGAGGTGCTCAAAGGAATAATTAATTAATTAATTCAACGCAAGACTTTCTTTCTTGTCAAAATAATCAATCAAATGTCTAATTATTTCATACAAATTAATTTATATTATTTAAAAAATTAATTTTTCTCGTTCCAAAAATATAAAAATATACCACGAATTTCAATATTTAACCTATAAAAAAATGTTATTAATATTTTAAATATTTCGGTCAATAATTTTATTGTTTAATTATATTTCAAAATTTAAAACATAAATATTTCTTTTTACGTTTTATAGTAAACAAGTCTCCGTGTTCTTAAAGAAAAAGGAATAAGTTGCTGCTTTCATATGACTCGAAAATCGGTCTAACTCAAATTATCCAATCCAAACCATAAATGTTGGGTTGGGTTAGATCTTTCTCGATTTAGATTGGGTTGAATTTTTTGGTCAGGTCAACCTAACTGATCTAAAAAAATAGTTTTACAAAATAATCATACCCTACTTTTAAGATTATTATAAAAATTAATAATATTTGACGTTAGTTATGCATTGTGACTTATAAATGTTTGATATTTGAATTTTACGAGATTTTAGTTATTAATGTATCATGTATTGTAGAAAAATATGTTTTTTTTAAATAATTAAAAGGAAAACAACTCGATAACCCAAGTTGCGTTTGGTCATTAATTCTATTCGAGTTATTGAGATCATCAACCTGAAATTTCGAGTTGATTCAAAAGATTTTCTTAATGCAACTTGCGTACACCTCTCTATAAATAATAAGTAATCGTCGGTTATTTGTTTATATATTTGTTAATTTAATTTGCTTTCAATTTTAACTAAATTATTTTATTTTCTTGTAATTTATATATAAATATTATTATTATTGGATTCGAGATAGAAATTTGAATTTGAATATGATATTTTAATTAATTAATGCTTAAGTTAATATAAAATATTATAAAGGATTAGTAAACAAATTTAAAAAAATATATTTTTTATTTAAATATTCCTAAAGGTAATTATCCCATTGAAAAAAATTAGTTCTTGGGGAGAAAAACAGAAGAAAACAAAAGTCGATACCCGTAAAAATTTACGATTTGTTTGATGCAGTTCGGATTGGCTTCGACACCATCCAGAATGGGGAAGATCTTAACAATAGTTCGATTGTGGTTGGTGGCGACGGCGGTGGCGTTGTCCTTGTCGGCGTTCACTACCGGCCACGTGACGCCTCGGACTGTTCTTAATCGATTGTCTTCAAGCAGCTCGTTCTTGACCCGGACGGAGCATTGGTTTAACCAGACACTCGATCACTTCTCTCCTTATGTAAATTTCACTCTGTTAAGTCGTAATTCGATTTCAATTGGCTTGATTTTATTTACTGCGGATGCTGAATTTGTCTCGGGGGTAGTTGTTCTGTGAATTGAATCTACTTAGCTTGCCTTTCAGTTCATTTATTCGGGATTGTTTGAAGTATCTTCTGACTAATTAAGCTAGGGGAATTTAGTATTTGCTTGAGCTTGACGTAAGTGGCTTAGGCTAGTTTTGACCTATAAGGAACATACTTAGCAATTTTTGTATTTCTTGGTCGGTTTGAAGAATATCTATGATAGTTTATTAGAATGGAAATGAACTTTTGATTTGTTTCTTTCTGACCACCCCAGCATGTAATGAGCTCAATCGTATTGAGTTCACATATACTTTATGACCAAGCAATTTTTCACTAAATTCTTTTAGAATTTCTTGTGTATGTGAATGTGAATGTGATGCTCATTAGTTCAATTCAATCCAATTCTGCTCACTCTTGGGTGCTAACGTATGCAGAACCATGACAAGTTTCAGCAGCGCTATTACGAGTTCCATGACTACTTTCGGATTCCAGATGGACCAATATTCTTAAAAATCTGTGGTGAAGGTCCATGCAATGGGATTAGCAATGATTATCTAGGAGTATGTTCAACAATACCTCCAATCATTTCTTAAGGGATTTGGTTTTTCTTGTGTTCGAATGATAACATGAAGGTCGACCTGCGAGTGGTGTACTTTGTTTAATGTAGTACTCTAGTTTAGATTATTTGTGACTCAGGGCTGAGCTTTGTAGAATTTACTTCGCATGCTGGTGATTTTGTTCTTCATTTTGTCTTAAAATATTTAAGATACTTTTTGGTTATAGAGCCTGTTATTTACAGTTCGAGGAAAGCAAAATGCCCTTTCAACCACTTCCTCAAAAGTACGAAGTTGTGAATGTTTGTAAAAATGTATGTGAGAAAGGAGGGTGTTGTTAATTTAGATTTTTGGGATTCTTGATTGCATGTTTGATTCACAGTTATGACAGTGGTAAAAGGGGTTTGTGAAAATGTATTTAAGAAAGGTGGATGTTGTTCATGTATGATTTAGTAGTGCTTGTATGCAAGTTTGTTCATTATGAAGTGGTGAATGCTTGTAGAAATATGTAAGAGAAAGGAGGGTGGTGTTCATCTCAATTTTAGGATTGCTTGTAGATAGATCGATGGGTAGACAGATAGAGAAGGGAGAAATCTATTATCTTCTCAAGTTTTATTAGTTATTCGATGAGGTAATCCCTTTTTTCATGCTTATTTATGTTATGCAGGTTTTGGCAAAGAAGTTTGGAGCAGCCATTGTTTCTCTTGAGCATCGCTACTATGGGAAGAGTTCCCCTTTCAAGTCATTGACGACAAATAACTTGAGATATCTTTCGTCCAAGCAAGCTTTGTTTGATTTGGCTGTCTTCCGCCAGTACTACCAGGTCATTATTACCCAATTTATAACTATATTATCAATTCAAATGTAAAGCAGATTGAAATAACTCATTTGTTTGCATATGTCAAATGACTCATAATCTAAAGTGGGATTATTTTTGTTTTTGAAAAGGGAAAAAGAAAACATGATATTGGATTTTCACACTTCACTACAACTTCACTAGCCTAGCGTTTATGGTCCACGTGCATGTTCAATACATTACCATTCTGATATTAATAATAAGCTTGACTTGTTATTTCTCAAATTATATGTAAATTAATGTCCGTCTGTTGGTCATCTGCTTGCAGGATTCACTGAATCTGAAGCTGAACAAAAAGGTTGAAAACCCGTGGTTCTTTTTTGGTGTCTCATATCCTGGAGCTCTTAGTGCGTGGTTTCGACTTAAGTTCCCTCATTTAACATGCGGAAGTCTCGCAAGTTCTGCTGTTGTTCTTGCTGTCTATAACTTTACTGAATTTGACCAACAGGTGATTCAAATATGATGTCATTGGCTATATGCATTCTCCTATTTGATTCAATGACCTTCAGATTCTATACAAGAATAACATTCTAGTCTCTCAAACTTTTTTTAAATGTGCTCCTTTGGACAATATCCTGAGTTGTCTTTTTTCTGCAGATTGGTGAATCTGCCGGTCCAGAGTGCAAGGCTGCTTTGCAAGAAACCAATCGACTTGTTGAACAAAGATTTGCAACAAACAAAAAAGAAGTGAAGGCATTGTTTGGTGCGGGAGAGGTTGACTTTCCACTTAATCATTTATAATAGGACACTATATTTGCTGTTCTCTTATTTGGCTGCTGATATCTAGCGTGTTTACAGCTGGAAATAGATGGAGATTTCTTTTATTTCCTGGCAGATGCCGCTGTCATCGCGGTAATTTTCAGTCTTGGATCACCTTTCTTTATGTATAATTTTTTTTTACTTTCAGCATTCGTTATCTTTATTTGTTAAAATTATGCAGTTTCAATATGGAAATCCAGATACAGTGTGCTCTCCTCTTGTTCAAGCAAAGAATGCAGGAAATGACTTAGTGGTATCTTCCCAGTTCTTACCTTTATTTGTTTATAATCTTTTTGTTTCCCAATAAAAATGAGAAATATATTACATTTTCAAGATTAGGATGTGCAGCAGGAACTGGACGAAAACTAAAATTTTTTGAGGTCATGAAGTGCACTAATTAGATGTCCAATATGTAATAAGCCTGAAAAAGAAGCTAGGAAATGAACCTTGAGCCACTCTTAGATTTATCCTTTTACGTTCCCCTCAGAAATTGTGTTATTCCTCTCCTTCATGAAGTGCAGTTAAACATCCAATCCTATGTTAATAATTGAGGAATGTAATGAACTTTTTTATAAGGTTAAGGCACAAATGGAGCTAGAAAGTGAACCTCATGACACTCCATAAACCTATGTTCCACTCTCTCATCTGAAAATGATATTATTTTCCTCTCCTTCCATACTCAAGCATTGGATAGCCATGACGGTGCAATCAAAATGAGTTTTGTTCCCTTCATTTCTTCTCTAACGTGCAAACTTTTCGAGTCAACGTTAAAGATAGAGTTTCTTGGGTTTAGTCCTTGACATGTTTCTTTAACCAAACACCCATATTAACCTCTGTTCCAAGCGTAGTTGCCAAATATGGATGGTCTATATTTATTAAAAAAAACTTGCTTGATCGCTTAACCAAAAATTTGGGCAAAAGATGTCGAACAAGTTATCCATCAATAAAGCACAAAATCAATCCATGCAAAACAAATGCTCCCCAACCTACTCTGTATTGCCACTATCCTTTAAAAGGGCCCGTTTTAAGTTTAATCTATGGGTTTCTTCTCTGTTCATAAAATGCAATGTGCACATACATGCAGGTTATTTTATCAACTTTATTAGGTATCTTACTCTTTGAATGCCATTTACTTTCTCCTGCAGGATGCCTATGCCAAATATGTTAAAGATTATTACATTGGAAGTTTTGGCACTAATGTTCAGACTTACAATCAGAAACACTTAAAAAACACCACTCCGGGTGAAGATAGTGCTGATCGGTTGTGGTGGTTTCAAGTTTGTTCTGAAGTTGCATATTTCCAGGTTGCTCCAGCAAATGATAGCATGCGATCCTCCAAAGTTGATACAAAGTATTCTTCCAGTCTCCTCTTTGTGGATTCCATGCTTTTGATCAGTGAATTTTTATCAGATTTCGATGTTTCTTTGGTTGCAATTTTTTAATAGCTCACATAATAACAGATATCATCTGGATCTCTGTAAGAACGTTTTTGGAGAAGGCGTCTATCCGGATGTAGACAGCACAAATATTTATTATGGAGGCACAAAAATTGCAGGTGCCTACTGTCTTCTTTTCTGCTTCCTCTACTTCACTTGGTTCTGTGCTTTTAGTGTGAGAAGTCGGTCACTTTAACCGTCATCCCTGTAATTTCTTATTTTTACTAATGCAATTCAAAGCTCTCTTTGGCCAGTTCGACATACTATAAAAAGAATTTTAAATGTGTATACGCCGGGCCTTTCAGTCACCAAAATTGCTTGTTTAGCCATAATTAACAGCGTTTCCAGTCTTATTTTACGTCTGATGAAAAATTGCTTTTGCAGGTTCAAAGATAGTTTTTACAAATGGTTCGCAAGATCCTTGGCGCCATGCATCCAAGCAAATTTCATCTCCAGACAGTGAGTTTTGAATTATTTTGTTCTTAATATTCATTTCCCAAGCTTATGTGAAACTCCCAGCCTTGAAGTGATCTTATCCAGGTCAATTACTCTTGATTGCTTGTGGATTTTCCTGGAAGAGTTTTTGTTTCATCCCAGGATTTTCATTGATTTTATTAAATTATGTAGAAAGGTTTTTACGTAAATTATTGGCCATGGTAATTTAGAATGGTGTTGTTTTGAATTTATTTAGGAGATTCATTCATAATGTTATTTACTTTTTCTTTTTTCTCTGTTCAGTGCCATCATTCCTCATAACATGTCACAATTGTGGCCATGGAACTGATTTGCGAGGATGCCCTCAATCTCATCTAAATATTGAAGGTATGTAAAGTTCTACCTTTATATCTACCCTTTCTTCCGCATACACATTATAAAAATGATTTAGATCGAGCATATGGGAGTCGATCTCAATCTCACGTAGACCTCCAATTTTTTTTTTTTTTTTTTTTTTTGGGGGGGGGGGNAAGAAAAGGCCATTAGTCCAAAGCCAAACGATCCTAAATCAATCAGATGTTTGTTTGCATGAAATTTTGAGATTTGAACTTAATGGTGCAAATCTAAACCCTGTAATTCACCTTAAAAATGTATGTTCCCCCGTTTGATCAAGTTTTGCACCGATCTTCATCTTTCTGAAGTAGTCTGTCCTTTACATCCTTAAAGACTGCATTGTTTTTAAATTGTCCAACATCTGCTCTTTCAAGTAGTATTACCTCTCGGTTTTTCCGAGAGTGATGAATTTTGTAGCTTTTTGTAATGTCTAATTGTTTGATCTCTTCTTTAGGATCACGTTAAATCACTCCTAAACTAAAGAACTCTAATGATTTAACGAACTTAATTTGTTGCTTCATTGCATTCTCTAAATCTGACCTTCCTCTCTGCCTCTGCCTCTGCCTCTCTTTAGGTGATGCTCACAACTGTAGCTCTCCAGACGCAGTTCACAAAGTTAGGCAGCAGTTGGTGGAAAAGATGGATCTTTGGCTGTCAGAGTGTCAGGCCACCACTGGTAGGAATTATATCTGAAGCACAACGATCAAGTCCTCCTGCTTAACTCTTACTACTTAGCTTAGCCTCGAAAGTGTTGAAAATGGTTTTTAAGCGAAGATTTTTAAGCACTTAAAAGTCATTTCAAACGCGCCTTAAATCATACTTTGCCTAATCGCTGTCTGTGCATATTATCCTCAAAACAGATGTTTAGTTGCTCCATTGAGGACATCATATCAATCCTACTCTCCTCTCTTCTGATGCAAGCAAGGAGCACGAATTATGTGGGCATGTATTTAAATTTGCACAATATGTATAAATAATGAATAGATTTTTAGACATTCATAAAGCTGACCTCATATTTATCATTTGGTTATTTCACATCTGTAATGTATTTTATTGTTCCACTTCCATTAGTATAAGATCTATCTTATATTATTTCTTTTCTCGAATAATCATTTTATAAATTAAAACTCATCGTTATATGACTGAGCTAATACTTGAACTTTTTCTAATGCCTATAGTATTTGCAAATGTATTATTCTTTTTTATTGAGGCCATAAGGTGATTGAAATGAAAATTTACCTAAGAGCGTAAATTGATACACTTATTCAAGTTTCAAGTTTGAAGTTTAAATTGATAAAGTGAGAATTTAGAGTAAAAATTGATACTAAATTTATGGTTGAAAATGATTTTTTCCCAAACAATTTCTAATTTCTAATTGTATTTTAGTCTCATATGTCAAAGTTTTGTATGAATGAAATGTTAATATGCTAGTAGATATTGTTATCTTTGAACTTTTCCTTTCAGACTTTCCCTCAAGGTTTTTAAAGGTGTGGAAGGTTTCCACACCTTTATAAAGAAGGTTCTCCACATAGGGCCATCCTAGACTTGAACTAGAGACCTCGCCCGTGAAATAAATCATCGTACCTACAATCCAACCAATTGGGAAAGAATCAATAGATTCCTTTTCGGGGGCGATTCATCTTTCTTTTGTCTAACTTACAAAATTAAAGGGTCACATTAAGTATAAGATCAAAATCTTAGAATCAAATTGCAAAATATTAGAACTATGGCCCTATGGGGAGAACCTTCTTTATAAAGGTGTAGAAACCTTCCACACCTATAAAAACCTTGAGGGGAAGTCCAAAAGGGAAAGTTCAAAGATAACAATATCTACTAGTATGTTAACATTTCATTCATGCAAAACTTTGATTTAATAATTAATGATTTACATATGAGACTAGAATATAATTAGAAATTAGAAATGGTTCGGGAAAAAATCATTTTCAACCATAATTATTAAGTCAAAATTTTGCATGAATGAAAGGTTAACATGCTAGTAGATATTGTTATCTTTGAACTTTCCCTTTCCGACTTCCCCTTTTAAAGGTGTGGAAGGTTTCCACACCTTTATAAAGAATGTTCTCCACATAGGGCCATCCTGAACTTGAACCAGAGACCTTGCCCGTGAAGTAAATCATTGCACCTGCGGTCCTCCACATAGGGTCATCCTGAACTTGAACCAGAGACCTCGCCCGTGAAGTAAATCATTGCACGTGCGGTCCAACCAATTGGGAGAGAATCAATAGATTCCTTTTCGGGGGTAATTCAACCTTCGATTGTCGAACTTACAAAATTAAAGTTGGTTGGTTATTATCTCAAGGCTCAACGCCCCCAAAAAAAGGTCATTGCAGCTCAATACGCTTCGCGCTTTCAAAAAACTGCACAAGAAAGATTATCATTGCAACAAAAGATGAAATACAGATAATAACAAACAACTAACCTACAGTTTCCATCTGTAATAGTTTACATCCTTTTCAACTCTAAAACAAAGAACCCTTCAATCTCAACATATCCTCTCCATTAATCAACCGAAGGGGCAGGGAAGCAGAACACTGTGAATCAGAACCTCATCCGCAGCAAAATTTGAATCTCACAATAGAAGAAAACATTTGCTTTGCTACTTTAAATATGTAGATGAAACCCAGAGTAAGATATAGGTTATCAATGAAGTAGTGACTTCAAAGCCTCTCAAACCTTTTATTACAGGAGGGATCACAGATACCATCAAAAAGGTTCCCAACAGCCATGAGAATATGAAAGCTCCAGCCCTGTACCATTGAAAAACTCATAGAATCAAACCCAGTTATCTTATCAGATACCATTAAATTCTGTTCTATATGTTAGTATTTATGTTCTATCATAAATTTCGAAAAGGAAATGAGATGAATGTTCTAGACATACCCATAAAGGAAAGCTCGGAGTTTGCTCTTCAGTCGATCATGTATGAAATAGAAAGTAGCTATGAGTGATATAGCAACCTGAAGGGTTGGGCCTTCCTCGGTTGGAAAAAGAATGGTGAGAACTCCAAGAACTAAAAAGGCAATGGATGACTTGATTATGAACTTTGTAGATGGTGTTTGGAACCTATTCCTTATAGCCTGCACAACCCGAGACTGATTCACTTCCCTGACCTTTTTCTTGATATCAATTTTTGGGTTCTTTCTGTCATAAAATTTTTGCATAATAATTTTATCATGAGCTGATTCAATGGCATCGACACTTTCTTTGTGCCCTGCGTATCTATGAATAAGGAAGTTTCTGGCAGCTTGAATTTCATCTTCAGATGCTTCCTTACTTATGCCAAGCCGTTTGTATGGATCCCTTACATGTATTCGAGGGAATATAGCTGCATTAGCAAAAAGAGTCAAGAAGGAAGCTCAGAGATGAGCTAAGCTAATTCTAGAAAAGTGTCAAGAAGGAAAATATCTTACGTGTCAAAATGGAGTGCGGTGCTCGCTTAATACAATTGCAGTAAATATCATCGTCATCAATATAAGAACGAATAGATTTATAAAATTTATTAGTAATTTATCACGATATCGTGTAGAAAATCATATGTTATAATCCCAGTTTTAAAATTTACTCATTTTAAGATAAAAAAAATCCATGTTTCAGGTCCTAATAATCAAAGTTTTGAACCATAGAGAGAGTAGATCAATAGTTTATTAAATAAATAAACCAGCAAATTAAATTTTTGGTCATGAATTTATAACCCTTTACATCTATTTTGATCCCTAAGTTCTAAAATGTAACCATTATCCCTTTAATGTTGTAAAGTCAGTCTAAATTGTTCCTATTGTTAATTGCCAGTTAGGTACAATAACACAGAGCTTTGTTTGACTAGGAGCTTCCTAGATGGATTAGTTTGGTGGAGATAATCGATGTTGTTAGTTGGAGTAAGAACTTTACCGGCAGACTCATTTGCAAAATCTCCGGAAGCATCAAATGCACACTTAGTAGTGTGTCGAATCTGGAGAGTTTTGCCTCTAAGAGCAGGACCCGTCCAGCAACTTCTGCATTAAACAACAAGGTAAATGAATCATGAATTGGAATGACCACATCAGAACACTAACGTGTAGTAGTGAGCAGAACCTTTTGAGATATTGCAAATCAATATTTTCTCTAAAGTTCCCATTGGGAAAAGATGAAACCAGCTCACGTGGAATCCTGGGACTAGGTCTCAGAAGACAACATTTCGAGGGTTTCCCACTCAATCCCGACAAAATCATCATATGAAATCTCTGTTCTTAGTGCCCCACAATACCACTATATGTTTATATTCTCCAAGCCACAGAATCAGCAGCTACAATTTTGTTAAAATCACTGAATTAGATACACTTTAAATAAGATTAACAAAAGAAACCATAGCAAGTGAGCAAAATAAAATAGAAAATACCACTCTACAAGAATCCAACCATCAGCCATAAATTCTGGTTTAGCAGAGTTTAGTCACCAGTCAAATAGATGAAGAGAATTGATATGCTGTTTAGATTATTTTCCATTACTTAGCCATGGAGAAACGAAGATATTAAAGTCTCTTTTAGAGCTTCCAGAGTGTTCTACTGTTAAATAGATGCAAAATATGTTAAACAATGAAATTAGCCCGTGGATCGATTGTGGCTGCCTAAATATCCTACCAATTTCAGTGTGTCAAATATTATGGAGAGCAAAAACATTCCCGCATCCATTTGGTTAGTTGGAGAGATTCAATTTGGGCAACAAACACTAAAGTTACTTTGAAAAACAATGAGAAAAAAGATCGGTCGTTTGGCTAATTGGAATTGGAAAGGGAATTAGAACATATTCGTTCACGTTCGGAGCTCATTCTGATAAAATTTTCAACCCGAAATCAAAATTTCAAAATAAACCATTCCAATTTCAGGGTCCAACATATGAATCAGAGAACGAAGTTAAAAAAGCTTAAACCCATTCAACCAATCAAAGAGAATGCCACACTGAACATTAACCGATACTTAGAGCAGAAAAGAGCAAAATTACGCGATACCAGATGAAACAGATGTAAATTACAGCAGAACTTGTAATAATTCAGCACCCAAAATCATCATCAAACACCACAAGAAATGAAATGAAGCTCCAAACCAACCGAAAGAATGAAGAATGAAGATTAGAAGAAGAACCTCATTGGTGAAATAGAGAGTACACGGCGGTCCGATAAGCAAAATCTTCAGTAGGGTCGATCTCAAACGTCGTGGTAAAGGATAGGGAAGACGCTAACCTAGAGCTTATGGAGAGCGCTACTGGACCAGTGAACCCTGCTTCCAGTAAAACGAGAACCCGATTTTTTTTACCCTTAAGAAAATGTTTGTAACGATATTAAAATAAATAAATAAATAAAATTTGCAGATGGACGTGAAATCCAATGGCTTTAAATAACTAATTTATTTTATATACTTTAATTATATTTTTTTTCATTTTAAAATTGTTCCAAAAAAAAAAAAAAAAACCCAGTTTTTTATTAAAATAAATTATAGAAAATTAAATGAAAAATTAAAACACCTAAATAATCTTTCTATATACTTATAAATTACCTTATTTAATAAAATATTCTCTTACGAATTATTTGTTTTGTTATGTATCGGAGTACATTTTTGTTCGCCGACCAACCCCCAAATTAGCCAAAGGTGTGCGTTCCGCTAAAGTTTCAATCAATTCTTACCAACATACAATGACATTTAAAACTTTTAAATAGAACCATGATTTAAATATGTAAATATGCCTTCTATTTTTATACGTCCTTCGCCGTTCTAGAATGTTTCTAAAACATCATATATTGATATTTAAGATTTGAAAATGAAATTATTAAAAAAAAACAAGTGGATATGGGCATGGAGTGTTTAAAATTTTAAAGGGTTGAAACCTACTTCAAACACTATAAAAATTTCAACGTTTTATAATAGTTATGCATCAAACATATCTCAATTAAACTTACGTTAATATCGTTAGACACTACTACATTTAGTTATAAAGAAAACTCTAGGATTTTCACGATAGATTGGTGTGGTTCCTCTACACCTAGGACACCAAAATATCGAACCATGAACGAAGAAAGGCATGAGAGAATAGCATATCGGCAGGAGATTGTGAGGCCCCAATTCATAACATGAGGGGGCACCCAAAGGCCTCTGCCCGCAAAGCTTTTTTTGGTTTTTTCATTGACTGAAAATACTTTTAACCCGTTCAACTGTCGCTCCCGCAAACTCGACGTGGAAGAAAAGAGTTTTTATGGGAGAACAGTGAGCTCATTTGAGTTGTCCGTTCAAATCTTGAAGAACCAAGTTTGCAGCATTACGACCAGGCGCCCCCATGACACCACCTCCAGGATGGGCACCACTTCCACACAAATACAGCCCTTTCACTGGACTTCTATAATTTGACCTGCATTGGCATTGGACAACCTCCACCATTCAAATCACTCATTTCTAAATGCACAAAAGAATAGTTCCCATTATATATCAGACTGAACGACTAACCATCCTTTAACTGGCCGCAAAAGGAAGAGCGAGTCCAACCCCATGGCGCCATGGAAGATATTCCCTCCTGCAAAAGGAAATTTATAAGAGATTTGTTATCAACTACGTAGTACTGAAGTGATTTTGTGCTCATCCATGAGACATTTAAAAGACATAACAAAGACACTCTCCACTGATTTTGTACAAGATGACTAAGCTAACATTCCTGCAGAAGATTCTTTACCTGTCAGACCAATTTCTCTTTCAAGATCAGGGGGAGTTAACATGTCATAACCAATAACTGATGAGCTAAACTGAGGTGCATATTCATCAATCAAAGCAAAACATCTTTGAGCAAACGATTCCTGCAAAGAGAGAATTCAATGCGCTCAAAGCTGGACTGATAAAATGTATCAAGATTAGTAACAATTCAGTTTTCAGCATTATTAGGCAGTGTTAAGAGTAAAAATGATCGAGAACACTGTGAGATCCCACATCGATTGGGGAGGATAACAAAACATTCATTATAAGGGTGTGGAAGCCAATCCCTAGCAGACACGTTGTAGAAACCTTGAGGAGAAGCCCAAAAAGACCAATATCTGCCAGCGGTAGGCTTGTGCCGTTATAAATGGTATCATAACCATACATCGGGCGATGTGCCAGCAAGGAGGCTGAGCCTTGAAGGAGGGTGGACACGAGGCGGTGTGCCAGCAAGGACGCTGGGCCCCGAAGGAGGTGGACTAGGGGGTCCCACATTGATTGGAGAAGGGAACAAGTGCCAGCGAGGATGCTGGGTCCTGGATTGTGAGATCCCACATCGGTTGGGGAGGAGAAGAAAGCGCATTGTTTATAAGGGTGTAGAAACCTCTCTCTAATGGACGCGTTTAAAAACCTTCAGGGGAAGCTCGAAAGGAAAAGCCCAAAGAAGACAATATCGGCTGATGGTGGGTTGGGCTATTACAAACACATTGTACACAAGTTAGTAGAAGTTGACCTCATGCAAATTAAATGTGCAACCAAAATCCACGATATCCATGATCTACTACCGACGTTACTATAAGCAGAATTTCCAAGGAAGCATCAAACGGGTTAATTATGAATTATGGTGTGCGTTGAACGAGCAATTAGATGAGAGATGAGAGAAAAACAAGGGAATTAAAACAGAGAAACTCTACAAGATTCATTCTAGAAACAGAGAAACAAGGGAATTAAAACGAGCAATTAGATGCTCAAATCTCCTATTATAGTGCCCAAAGTAAACAACTTATGTTCATTCTAGAACTGAACTCACCCTATAAACAGGATCTTCCCAAGAACCATCGGATGGTTTGTATGGAGTGTACTGAATAAATAAATTGATCACATGCTTGCCTACAAGACAAAAGACTCCATCAATTCAGTCAGAATAGGTTGTTAATAAACTCAAATTGCCGATCACATACAAAGAAGGCCAGCATCCTATGACTTTTCTTTATACAACTACATTAGGTAAACTAACAATTTAACTTCTTAAGAATATAACAAGGGAACTATAATTTACATCTTCCAAACATGAATTATCATTTCATTACTCATATTTTAGTCGTTGAATATTTTAAATAATCTTCTCACGGTTAAAATTTTAAAATTTTATTAAATTTAAAATTTTGAGTTTAATGGTAACAATATCTATAATTTAAGGATTTAATTGTATCAACCCCTTTGAATTAGGGATAGTTTGTACATTTTCTTATTGACCCTTAATAAAATTATAACAATAAGGTTTAATTGTACTAATGCTTTAAGGTTGAGGGGAAATTTTGTTAAAAACAAGCAATTAACCTTATAGATTCAAGGGCAGTTAAATCTCTCACGTGGACCTGGAATCATGTGGATCTAAAAAAAAAAAAACTCGAGGAATGTGAAAAGGCAGCTATCTAAGAAGGCTAAATATCTCATCCTACAGTTTTCTGGGGACCGACTTTTTCCTTCTTTGGTTGGTGCAATGTGCTGCCAGGAGAACATCCATGCGGCTGGCCTCTGTTTTGGTTGTATATTATTTCAAATGAGAGAAGGAAGTTTTATGGCTGAATTTCATTAGGGCCTTCCGTTCATATACGTTTGAAAGGAATAATCGCATTATCAAGGAAAAGGAAAACTAATTCGGCAGTTTCTTCGAATCATTATCTTTTTTGGCTCTGTCTTGCTGCAAAAACTCTGCCCTTTTTTCACAATGCTAAACACCCTATTGCATTAATGAAAAGTATTGTTTCCATTTCAAAAAACCTATTGGCCAGAGTGCTGTACTATTCAATCGGGTGTGGTCGTCCCCTTTTTTTGTATAACTTTATCTTAATGATGATGTGGTTTCTTATCCAAAAAGAAAACTAAATATATTGCTCTTCTTCTCCAATACATGGTTGCACCAACCATAAACTCAAGAGAATAAGAAGATGCCAAAAATATTTGGATTAATGCAATAAGCATATTTATATCAATGTCACACATAGATAGAATATTCTTACCAAAAGGAACAAACAGATAGAATATTATTACCAAAAAGAACAAACAGATAGAATATAATATGTTGCAAACCTGGAGGAGATATTGTCCGGTCTAGTATAGAGGGGATTGTCATCTCAATAATAGGTCTTCTAGACGGTAAGCCATTCGAAGCATCTTGACAAGCCAAGTCAATCTCCTCCATACTAAATCAGAAGAACAAGGTTTAACAACTGAAGTTCTAAGGAACTACATGCTATCTTGCATGACATTGAAAGAAAAGCATTCTATCATGGATGGTGAAGTCGCATGCCAAATTGTGCCGTGACCAGCGAGGAGACATGACACTTGAATAACCAACATTAGCACATGTATCTTCTAAAACCTGCTCGTATTTTCGATAGTTACACCAATCTTCTCATCTTTTTAGTCTAGCTTAGTGACAGTGGCAAGGAAAAGGGGAAACAAAATGATTTGCTTTAGTTTCTTTCAATCTGGTATTTTGCTTCTACTTGCTGTCCAAGAACATAATTCTTTCGGTGATCAAATATTAATTTAATGTATTCTCCTGTATAATTGCCAATTATTTAAGCATAACTAGAAGATTATCAGTTTCCACCACTTCCAAAGATTTCAAATAGAAGCAAATAACAAGATGATGGGCTACTCTTAGCATACCTTTCTGCACCAATATGAATGGTGCCAACGAGCTGATGTTCTGCTTCAGCTGGGCTCAACTTACAACAAGGAAAGTGGGGTATTTTGTCAACTGCTAAGTTAATTTTGGTAGTTGCCTGTTTCATTGAATGACAAAAAATGTTTCAAGTACGAATGAATCAATTCGTTTTTTAGAAGAAACAAAAAGTATACTAATAGTAATAAAATTGAGGAGAAAATGTAAGAACCACCCATCGCAGAGGTTATTATAATTTAAGCAATTATCCCTAAACATAAATTACAATCACCATGATAATCAAATGACACAAAGTGCAACTTTCTAAAGTTTTAATGGGTCCTTGCTTTCCTTCTCGGTCTCATCTCTTATGGCTCAACGCTGTAAAAGCAATTCTTTTGGAACTAGGGTTGGAAATAAATCAGAAAGTTTTTTTTTAAGAGACAATTTCATTGATATTTGAAATTTACAAAAGGAATGTGTTACCCATGATGTTTATGAAAAAAAACCTTTCCAATTTACAATAAGGGAGGTATGACAATAGGAAGCAAAAATATTAGACAATTTACACAAGATATAGCGCGGTAAACAATATTGTCGAAGAGCTTTGTATCAGTCTACGTGTTCTTTGTTTTTTTCTTTCCATTGATTCCAAAAGAAAGCCATAATGAGATTTTTCCATAGAA